GGTTGCGCTTTAAAGCATATAAAATAGTGGGAGCGGAAACCTCTAGCAGCTGTACTAGTGATAGTGTACTACTAGTGTACTACTAAAAGTACTAGTGGCACCTTAGAGACTAACCAGTTTATTTGAGCATAAGCTTTCGTGAGCTACAGCTCACTTCATCGGATTGAGCTTATGCTCAAATAAACTGGTTAGTCACTAAGGTGCCACAAGTCCTCCTTTTCTTTTTGCGAATTCAGACTAACACAGCTGCTACTCTGAAACCTGTCATTTTCTTAAATACCACTCTCAATTTGGGTCCCCTGTAGATTTAGTGGATGCCACACACTACCTTCAGTAAAACTTGACAGATTGAGATCATTTTGGCCTGCATCACATCAATAATTTGACCTCTATCTCTGAACAAAAAAACCCACCTAGAAATATTTTGAAAAATGGCTACTGTTTTCTGGGTTTATATCTCTGCAACCCCTCATTCAAATGACCCAAAATTTGGCTTATTAACCCTACCTTGCACCCTCCTGCAGCACACCAAATTTCAAAGGAATCTGACTAAGCATGTTGATTACAGAGGTCTTAGAAATTTGCCCTTGAAACAGAAGATGTGACATAAGCTTAACTACTGTGGAGCTGCTGTACCATTAAAATCAAAGAAATATTTTGAAGAGGTGTTATTGCTCCTTCAAAAAAAGACAACTATTCCAGAGACACTTTACCATAATGGGCTCTCATTTTAGAAAAGAGACAACTAAGTGGGGACATGATAGACATCTATAAAATCATGAACAGTGTGGAAAATGTGAACAGGGAAGTGTTATTTACCCCTTCACAATAATCAGGGGTCACCCAATGAAATTAGTAGGCAGCAGGCTTAAAATAAATGTAAGGATGCTTCACACAAAGCACAGTCAACCTGTGGAACTGGTTGCCAGGGGATGTTGTGAAGGCCAAAATTATAACTGGGTTCAAAAAAGAATTAGATAAGTTCATGGAGGATAGGTCCATCAATGGCTATTAGCCAAGATGGTTAGGGATTCAATCCCATGCTCTGGGTGTCCCTAAACCTCTGACTGCCAGAAGCTGGGACTGGACGACTGGACAACTGGACGTTATTGATCATATAATAATTGCCTTCTTCTGTTCATTCCCTCTGAAGTATCTGGCACTGGCAACTGTTGGAAGAAAGGATACTGGGCCAGACAGACCATTGGCCTAACCCAGTATGGCCGTTCTTATGTTCTTTATGTTCTTATTTTATGCTCAACAACTGCCAGGAAATATTACTATAGGGCAGGATGATTAACGCTGTCAACGCTATTCGGGAGGCACAGCTTAGAGCTCACTGGTCCTCAGCACACTATAGGACTGTGTTCAGTTTGTCCCTAGAAGGTGCCGCTGAAGGACGCAATGTTTTATAAAAATCAGATCCCAATCATTTTACCTCTACTGTACAATATGCATGATTATAAATACAGAGACATATTGTATGTACACCTTTGTGCTTTCATTATGCATATTTAAAGGCTTAAGTACTTAACTGACCACAGACAATTCCCCCAAGTTTCAAAAGTGCTGAGCACTCTGCAGCTTCCCAAAATTAAAGGCCACTTTTGAAAATGTGGACCTCTGCCCTTATAGTACAACAGAAGCTGTACATTTCTATAGCACAGCCAATGTCTGGTAGAACAGTGCTTGCAGCCCTGGACATTAACCTTTAAATACTTACCCTAATTAATAAATAAAGCAAGGAGATGACTATTTTTAGGCAGTGCACTGGTGGTGACCTGACAGCCAATTAAGGTTCACAATAACAAGCCTTGTTCACAAAGGAAAACCTGACCCTGAACCTTTCTGATTTTTCTTTATTAAAATGTAAAAAGAAACTAGTCAGGATTCACTTCTGCTGGCAGAGGGAGGTGCAAATTACACCTTCCCATGCCAGCCAGGTCAGTGCCATATGCAGGGGAATTCACCCTTGGGGAATGCAGGCAGCATTTTTAACACTACCCTCCCCTAGAATTTCAACCATGCTGGGCAGCTTGGGGTTCTGCAGAGGTCTCCATAAGTCTCCTGCCACCAGAGACTACTGAGTTCATGTGTCAAATCAGCACATCTTCAAGGGCGCTGGAACAATGTTTACAGTGTGGGTGCTGAAAGCCATCGCACAAAACTGTAAACCCTGTATATGATTAAGCCATGCATTTGGTTGCTATTACTACTTCAAGTCCAGGGGTACAGACAGCACTTCTGCTCTTGGCGACTGAGATGTGGGTGGTCACAGCTAGTGGTTGGAGCATGCCTAGTGGTTAGAGCAGGCATCGGTAGCCAGGAATTGGCACCCAGGGTCAGAGTCAGCAGTCAGATGCCACAGCCAAAGTCAGAGCTCAGGAATCAGCACCGAGGGTCAGAACCCGGTTACCTGGAGCAAGGCAAGGCATGGGCCAAGGCTGAGAACAATCAGGTACAGGCGCTGTCACAGCCATGGGAAAATGCTTTGAGCAGCTGCTAAACTGCAACTGCTGCTGGGCTTAAGAGCCAATCTGCTGAGCCGTCCACTCAGGTGGCATAGCCAGTTAGACAGCCTACTACAGGCCAGCTGTGTGCATTAGGTAGCCCGGAGACTGGCTCTGCTGTAGGTCCTAATTCCTGACACCTGAATATCTTTACTATGCATTTTCCCAATATTTGCACCTGCACAGGTTGCCTCAATACCCGTCCTGGCAGCCTTTCTATGGCAGACAGACCCAGCGTGAATCTGCCCTACTATATGTCAATGTTAATATTGCTGGAAAAATAAGATGTGACAAACCCAGGAAAGGTAAAGTTAAACTGACTTTTTTCCCTTTACTCTCTTCCCTGTGAATAAAAAACAAGGCAAAATGCTGTGAGTCACAGCTGGCGCCTGACCTTTAACACAGATGTTATTCAAGCACTAACAGCAGCATCAAAATAAATTGCAATTGTGCCATGTTCAATAGCAATCTCATCAGACTTTCCAAGCTAAGCAGGGCTGGGGTGGGTGCATATGTGGGAACATCTGACTCAGTATATAAACATGAGAGACCTCCAAGGAACAGCGAGGCACTGCAGAAAGTGGTGTTAGTGATTCAATCGGTGGCACTAAATAAGCAGGTTGATTTTCAGAGGTGTTATGCCTATACAACTCCCCTTGATTTACCAGAGTCCCATGAGAAAAGGAAGATGCAGGGGCTCAACACCTCGGAAAGTCTGGAATTTATTTAAGTGCCTAACCTTAGGCATTCAAGTTTCATGACTTTGGCCTAAGTGACTTGCCCAAGATCATACAGGAATCTGTGGCAGACCGATAATAGAACGCTCATTCATTTTCTTGAGACCAGGTGGGTGAGGTAATACATTGTATTGGACCAACTTCTTTTGGTGAGAGAGAGAAGCTTTCAAGCTTACACAGAGCTCTCAAAACCTGAAAAAAGGGCTCAAGCTTTCAAAAAGCTCAAACGCTTGTCTCCCTCACCAACAGAAGTTGGTCCAATAAAAGATATTACCTCATCAGCTTTGTCTCTCTAATATCCTGTGACCAACATGGCTACAACTACACTGCATACTTTCATTTTCTTAACGATTGTGTCACTTGCTGCCAGTGGTGGTTATGAGTTTGTACAGATCACCCTGGAGATTGTTATAGTTACTATGCCTGGACATTGGGAGTGTGTGTGCAAATCAAACAGAAATCTCTATGAAGTTTATAGTGCAGTTTTAACAAACAAAACCACATTAGGGAAGAGAATACTGAATTTAGGCCTTAATTCTGTCACTCAGTTGTGAAGTTGTGAGCCACTCTCTACACATATGGTCTCATTATATTGTCCCACTGTGATGCACTGGCTGCATGTGTGTATATATATATATAAGTATGTAGACATTGTTCTCTAGTGGCTGACCCACAAAAAGGATAAGGGAGCTGCTACTTGTGGAAGCTCAGGAGTTCGCTCTTAAACTACAGGGTACCACTGCTTGGCTTCTGAGCCGACAGACCAGGTTTATAGTCCCAGCTGCCAATTTGTTCGTGTGTATGATTTATATGCAGTAGTTGTTCCTGTTGTCTGCAGATCATGAATTTATTTTACCACAAAACTAGGCAAGTATCACAAAATTATGTCCTGAAAAGTCAAGGCTCAATAGGGCAGAAATGTGGTTTAAACTTAAAGGACACCATCTACATACTCACTTATTCTTAAGGTTTGTCATTTACACTGTGCTGCTCTCTTACAAACTTGAGAATAGAGTTCATTCCTTACCAGTTCTGCCTGTTTCCAACCAGTAATTATTGCTTACCTCTTCTGCCTCCTGCCCATCCCCTAGTTTATGTAGAGCACAAGCCAACCTGGCTTTGTATTATTTATTATTGTTGTCATTTTTTCCCAGTTAGTAAATCTCCTACTGCTGTTGTGTGTTTTTAAGAAGAAACACACTGATGGGATCCTGAAGCCAATATTTTCAGTTGGGAACAACATTTATGCTATTTAAGTCTGTTTCGCGCCGCATCCCTTTGTTTTGGCACACAGATTCTACAGCAACCCAGATGGATACGCACAGCCCAGGAATATCACTGTGTCAGTTCACAACAAGAAAAACATGCATGAACTGGGAGGTTTTCCTGCCTCCTATTCACAGTCTGGAATTAAATAATAGTGGAGTGACCTATGCTTAGATTCCCAGATACAAGCGTGATATTAAAGAAGGCAAGAAAAATTCATGAGGAGTATACATTTCCTATATATAAGCTGACGCTGCACAGAGCAATATATTTCAGTCCAATGTGAAAGGGAACTGCATTATCTGTCTTTATATTTCACGTTACAACATGTATAGTTAGATATAGATAACGGGTAGTATGTTAATAAAAGGAATGTATCCCCACCTGCTACATGCTTGCATGAAACACCACCACCAAGAAACTGAACATAGCACATTGGGGTGTACACGGGGCTGGCAGCTTGCAGAAAGTGCAGCACTGTGCTTACCTGTGTGGTCAGGTTTTCCATCCACAACAGCGAGTCTGCCTTTGCCAGTGGGCATAAAGCTGCGGCTGAGCTGGCAGTCAGTGTGATACAATGATAGCCATTGTCGACCTAGGAAGTGCCAAGTCTTCTCACGGCTTGGATTAGTCACAGTTATCTCCTCCACATACCAGGCTTGCTGCTTCTCTAGACCATCATGCTTAAACAGAAACATGCAAAGCCTTAAAAAGTGAGATTACAGGGATGTGAGGTCTAGTGAAACTTCAACACACACACACACACACACTGCATGTGTTACATGTATGCATACATCTACGTGCCATAACGTCCATATACTACCCATGCATACACAGACACACACAAATCTTAACACCTATGGGACATGCCACAAGACTTTTCATTTAGATATTTTCCTAACAGACTGGTGGTGACCTGTAAGGGCTTGAAATTTGGCACAAGGTCGGCCTAGAGTCAGGAATGTGTCTTTTGCCATTGTTGTGAAAAACTTCCAAATTTGTCCAAGTCATAAGCTCCTAAAAGTCGCAATTCACATATGAATTTTGTTAAAGGCTGGCAGCACAGGGTATCCTCCATCCTCAAAGAGCTCCTATGGGTTGACCAGACTTCATATGCGCCATCCCCACACATTGAAAGATCATACTCCAACTCAGAGCTGCAGGAGCGGAGCAAGACTTTTCCTGAAATTGCTCCTCTCAGCTTCTTCTTCTTCTCCTCATGACCTTGTCACAAACTAGAGGCTTTTCCAGAACTGTGCACAAGTGATGGCTCTTTCCATTGCTGCAGCGGGATCCTCCTTTGTACAGGTTTCCTCAAAGAGTCAGGAAACGAGCAGATGCTCCATGGTCAGCACCTCAGCCCACTCACATATACGTGTGTCATTAGAATAGCCCCATTTGATCATATTAGTTTTTGATCTGCCAGTTTGCCTGTGCAGGCGGTTCAGGCATTGCCACATTGACCAGTCTGTGTCAGCATCTCTGGGGTTTCAGATCTATTTCAAAAAGAAAAGGAGTACTTGTGGCACCTTAGAGACTAACCAATTTATCTGAGCATGAGCTTTCGTGAGCTACAGCTCACTTCATCAGATGTATACCGTGGAAACTGCAGCAGACTTTATATATACACAGAGAATATGAAACAATACCTCCTCCCACCCCACTGTCCTGCTGGTAATAGCTTATCTAAAGTGATCATCAGGTGGGCCATTTCCAGCACAAATCCAGGTTTTCTCACCCTCCACCCCCCCACACAAATTCACTCTCCTGCTGGTGCTAGCCCATCCAAAGTGACAACTCTTTACATAATCAAGTCGGGCTATTTCCTGCATAAATCCAGGTTTTCTCATTTTTATGGCTGATTTAGAACAACGCTTCCTCAGCTCTCGTCCCCTAAAGCCCCTACTCTACTTGCGCTATATTGATGACATCTTCATCATCTGGACCCATGGAAAAGAAGCCCTTGAGGAATTCCACCATGATTTCAACAATTTCCATCCCACCACCAACCTCAGCCTGGTCCAGTCCACACAAGAGATCCACTTCCTGGACACTACAGTGCTAATAAATAATGGCCACATAAACACCACCCTATACCGGAAACCTACTGACCGTTATTCCTACCTGCATGCCTCCAGCTTTCACCCTGACCACACCACACGATCCATCGTCTACAGCCAAGCTCTGCGATACAACCGCATTTGCTCCAACCCCTCAGACAGAGACAAACACCTACAAGATCTCTGTCAAGCGTTCTTACAACTACAATACCCACCTGCAGAAGTAAAGAAACAGATTGATAGAGCCAGAAGAGTTCCCAGAAGTTACCTACTACAGGACAGGCCTAACAAAGAAAATAACAGAACGCCACTAGCGGTCACCTTCAGCCCCCAACTAAAACCCCTCCAACGCATTATTAAGGATCTACAACCTATCCTAAAGGATGACCCAACACTCTCACAAGTCTTGGGAGACAGGCCAGTCCTTGCCTACAGACAGCCCCGCAACCTGAAGCAAATACTCACCAACTACCACATACCACACAACAGAACCACTAACCCAGGAACTTATCCTTGCAACAAAGCCCATTGCCAATTGTGCCCACATATCTATTCAGGGGACACCATCACAGGGCCTAATAACATCAGCCACACTGTCAGAGGCTCGTTCACCAGCACATCCACCAATGTGATATATGCCATCATGTGCCAGCAATGCCCCTCTGCCATTTACATTGGTCAAACTGGACAGTCTCTACGTAAAAGAATAAATGGACACAAATCAGATGTCAAGAATTATAACATTCATAAACCAGTCGGAGAACACTTCAATCTCTCTGGTCACGCAATCACAGACATGAAGGTCGCTATCTTAAAACAAAAAAACTTCAAATCCAGACTCCAGCGAGAAACTGCTGAATTGGAATTCATTTGCAAATTGGATACTATTAATTTAGGCTTAAATAGAGACTGGGAGTGGCTAAGTCATTATGCAAGGTAGCCTGTTTCCTCTTGTTTTTTCCTACCCCCCCCCCCCCCCCCCCCGATGTTCTGGTTTAACTTGGATTTAAACTTGGAGAGTGGTCAGTTTAGATGAGCTATTACCAGCAGGAGAGTGAGTTTGTGTGTGTATGGGGGTGGGGGGGGATGTGAGAAAACCTGGATTTATGCAGGAAATAGCCCGACTTGATTATGTAAAGAGTTGTCACTTTGGATGGGCTAGCACCAGCAGGAGAGTGAATTTGTGTGGGGGGGTGGAGGGTGAGAAAACCTGGATTTGTGCTGGAAATGGCCCACCTGATGATCACTTTAGATAAGCTATTACCAGCAGGACAGTGGGGTGGGAGGAGGTATTGTTTCATATTCTCTGTGTATATATAAAGTCTGCTGCAGTTTCCACGGTATACATCTGATGAAGTGAGCTGTAGCTCACGAAAGCTCATGCTCAGATAAATTGGTTAGTCTCTAAGGTGCCACAAGTACTCCTTTTCTTTTTGCGAATACAGACTAACACGGCTGTTACTCTGAGATCTATTTCAGTGCATCTGACTGCATGTAGTCTTTCATTCCATAACCTCAGTCATGCCTTGCCTGGGGACCATAGCAGAAGCGTTTACATCGCAGCCCCTGTCAGATTGTTATGAATCTGCAAATTCTGTCCCTAACAACTTCAAGCAAATATCATGCTCTTCCGAGCTGTTAAAGGCAGCCGTGGCACATTCTCTTTGCTCTCAAGTCTGGTCTTTCCTGTGCTCTCAATGACCCTCCTCCTCTGCATGCTGATGTCTCCTTACCATGGAAGACAAGGAGGAAGTTGAGTGACTTGCTCAAAAGCAGAGTAGTGAGAAGAGAAGAAAGGAGGACAGGGACAGACAAGAACAAAGGCAGGCATGATGGTGGATAGGAGCAGAGGTGGGGTCAAGTACAAGGGAGGAGTTGAGGGACAGGAGCAGGAGGAAGGCAAGGACAGCTAGGAGGACAGGCGCAATAGGGTGTATAGCAGGGGTAGGCAACCTATGCCACGCGTGCCAAAGGCGGCATACGAGCTGATTTTCAATGGCACTCACACTGCCCAGGTCCCAGCCACCGGTCCGGGGGGCCCTGCTGCCGGCCTGGGGTCCTGGCTGCCGACCCGGGGCTCTGCAGCTGGCCCCAGTTCTGGCCCACTGCCCCCAGCCTGGGGCAGTGAGGGGTGCAGAGAGGGGCAAGAGGGGGCACAGCTCAGCACCCCCACCTTAAAAATTGTTCCAGTACCACTGTACTGGGATATTTTTAAGTCCTGATTTGCAGCTTACATCACTATCATGCCACGTGGAACAGCACACTGCATTTGACGTTGAGATTAGAATGTACATGCAAGAACCGGAATCAGAATTTTCTGACAGATTTCAAGATTTCCAGCGATTTGGCCCAATGCTTTCTATTCTAATTAAACCTGGAAAGTTCAACAAAAGCAACTTGGATTTGACTGTATTTCAGTGGATGAGTGTAGAAGATTTTGAAATGGAGCTCATTTAGTTAAAAAGCTCAGAATTGTGGGCATCAAAGTTTGGAGATCTATGGAGTGCACTTGAAGCTACTGAAAGAGATCATGGGGCCTCTATTCTGACCTGCTGGACGTCCCTGCCAGTGAAATTTAACTGTTTGAAGAAAATTGGGTTTGCAATGCTTTCAGCATTTGGATCCACATGAAATCTGTCCTCTGTCCCTCTCAGAGCCAGTTAACAACTGATCACTCAGAAGCCTGTGTGCAGCTTAAAGTATCCAAATACGTGCCAGATATTGGAAAACTCAGCAAGGAAAAGCAATGGCAAGGATCACACTAAACTGATAAGATCTGCATTTTAATTTAATTTTAAATGAAGCTTCTTAAACTTTTTAAAAACCTTATTTACTTTACATACAACAATAGTTTAGTTATATATTATAGAGAGAGACCTTCTAAAATTGTTAAAATGTATTACTGGCATGAGAAACCTTAAATTAGAGTGAATAAATGAAGACTCGGCACACCACTTCTGAAAGGTTGCCGACCCCTAGTCTATAGCCACTAAAACTCGCCTGTAATTAAATTAAATTAAATCCAGGATTAGTGATTCTCTACATTCCTTCCTTGTCTAGCAATACTCGTGAATACTTACAAAAGTGTGTTTCTTCCCCATCTAGTTTCTGGTCCACACAGAATATAACAACCTTCTACTGCTACTAGTAACTCCATTAGCTCAAGTGACAGTGGTTTGTGCTATGGATATAAAAGATCTAAACCCTGTTACGGACCCATGTGGATGTCAATATGATTTCACATGATGAAATCTCTTTTTGCCGTTTACTTTTTTTAAAGGCCTAGGAATATTTTTTTTTAATTACTGTTATGCTGGATGTTGTTAATGGCTGCCATCAAGCAGAACTTTGATCTACAGACTATCAAAGACCTCATTAAAGCTGATGGGTGTGCTACCTACCCTTCTTTTAGGTTAAATGGAAGCCGTGAGACAGCCTGAGACAACAGAAACTACAGCAACATAAGCTATACAAAAAGTCAACGGTCAGCAATCTTCATGTACCAGGAAGAAAGCTTCACTCTATCATGATATTAGCTCCAAGATGTTTCAGAGGGATATTTATTGGTATTTATCAGAGATAGGATTCCGGACTCAGGGACATTGGAGCTACTCTGTGATGAGAATTTTTATGTTCCTTTCTTTTCCTTTCTTAGTATTCTCCCTGTCAACCCCTTCTCCAACCTCAACCCCTTCTCCAGCCTCAACCCCATGTCGCCAATTCAAACTGTCAAAGAAAAAATAATAATTGTTGAATTATTTCTAGACCTTAATCCAAAACACAACACCAGATTTGAATACCTCAAAAGGTTGGGGTTGGGGGTGTAGATCTGAATTCAATTCTCAGTGTCCTAACTAGCTCCTATTGGTTGACCCAAAGTTTTTTGGTTTTGTTTTCCTTCTCTTGGTGGAGGGGAAGAACTTCTTAAAATTGAGATGTGGGTCAGAATTTTGCAACTTGTCTCTATCACAAGGTTTCTCTCACTGCTATACCTCGTCTCCTAATTGGGAAGATTGATTTGCTGTTCCCATGCATGACTTCTTCTTAAATCTATAACCTCAAAAGTTAATATTATTGCACGCTCAGACAGCTTTTATTATCTTTATCATGCTTTTGCATAGCATGGGTAGAAGCTTGGAGTCACAACTTATTTTTCCTTCAACTCACCTCTGGTCTATCAAGCTGTGATTGCGTTTCCCTTTTCAGCTAATTATGTGAGCCTCAATTTAAAATATTGTAAACAAGTGACCCATTCAGATCTATACAATTATATATATTTCCCCCTCTAAGCAAATTATACAAACTTCAAGTCACAAAAAATGATTACCTCCAGGGTGATGTTTTGGATTTCTCCAATTTCTGGACCATGAATTTTAAAGGTATTAATTGACCCTTTGGAGAATTTAAACACAGCTGCTTGTTGAGACACATTAGATCCAGTTTTCTTATATAAACGTGTCTTGCTGAGTTTTCCTTTAGAGCCCTTCATCTTAAGAAATACCTAAGAAATATATAATAAATATCCCTGTATTAATAACTCAGCTACATTAAAAACATTTAAGATTTCATTGTCTAGGAAGATATGGTAAGCAGGTAAATGATTCACTTTTGTAAGACCCTGATTTGGATCTCACTTATACTGGTTTCACAGCAGTGTAACTATAGATTTGATTGGGGTTATTATGGATTTATGTTAGTGTATGTGAGACTAGAATCTGGCCCTAAGTCTCTCAAATAAATGCATTCTAACACCAGGTCTGGAGTCAATAGCAGTTTAGCCACTGACTTCAAACAGAACAGAATATAAACAGTTTGTACATATTATAAAGGGAATTAAGTCACAACATTTAAACTTGTATCATGAAATTACCCACTTCCCCACAACACAAGTCTGGCCTATTTGGATCAGTCAGTCCGTTTGTGTTTACTTTTATTCTTACCCTACATGTCAACTAGATCTTATTTCTGTAGCTATGAAAATAGGCAACCATTGTCCAGGCTTCTGGGCATATCAGAATATATATTTTTAATTGATTCATTTAAGAACATGTTGCTGAACTTTCAAAAGAAAAAAAACTGTATTTGATCCAAGGCCAAGCATGGAAAATTCCAGCCTAGAATGAATTTGTTTGAGAAAGTTATGAATAACTGATAAGCAGGTGAAAGGGAAGGGGAAGAATGGAAACTTCACACCATAAATAGCCACAGCTGCTCCTACTATAAAACCACCAAAGGGATTGGTACCCATATCCTAGCAAGAACATTGCCATTATAAACTTCATTCCAGTATGTTAAATATTGTCAAGTAAACAGTTAGTTTAAAATTGTTTCCTACATTCTAATTAACTGAAAGCTAAAATTGTGGGTAAAATATTGCTATTAAATCTAATTCTAAAGGTAGCTTTTTAATAAATAATAATAATAGTACAATTTAAAGCAGGAAACTTAGGGTAGGTCTACACTTAAAACTCTGCAGCAGCATGCACCTATGCCAATATAGCACTTCAGTGAAGACACTACCTACACCAGTGGTTCTCAAAGCCGGTCCGCCACTTGTTCAGGGAAACCCCCTGGCGGGCCAGACCAATTTGTTTACCTCCCGCCTCCACAGGTTCAGCCAATCGTGGCTCCCACTGGCCGGGGCTCGCCACTCCAGGCCAATGGGGGCTGCGGGAAGGACGGCCAGCACGTCCCTTGGCCTATGCCGCTTCCCACAGCCCCCATTAGCCTGGAGTGGCGAACCGCAACCAGTGGGAGCCGCGATCGGCTGAACCTGCAGACACAGCATGTAAACAAACCGGTCCAGCCCGCCAGGGGCTTTCCCTGAACAAGCAGCGGACCGGCTTTGAGAACCACTGACCTACACCAACAGGAGGGCTTTTCCTATCAGTGTAGATACTCCATCTTCCCGAGAGACAGTAGCTATGTTGACAGGAAAATTCTCCTGTCAACATAGCGCAGTCTACAACAGGGGTTAGGTCCGTTTAACTGCATCTCTCAGGGTGGTGATTTTTCACTTCCCTGAGCAACATAGTCATACCAACCTAATTTTCTAGTGTAAACCTGGCCTAAGTCACAACTCAACGCTACTTCCCAGTCTGCCACTGACTTATTGACTGACCTTGGACAAGTCCCTGCACATCTATTTCTCAGTTTACCCATGTGTAAAATTGAGACAATAATACATCCCTCACTCACAGGGTTTTGTGGCTTAATTAGTTTAGGTCTTTAAAGCTCTTTGAAATGCTCAAGTGGAAGGTGTTATGTAACTTCAAAGCACTAGGAATTTTTTATTTTTTTGTGTAATCATTTTATCTTTTTAAAGAACTGTTAAAATCAGCCATTGCCTCTTAATCTCCAAATCAACCGTTATTCAGCTAGACAACAAGAGACATTCTACTAAGGTCCTGATCGTGTAAACAGCAGTAGCAGTGTATCCACTTAACTCTGGTAACAGAAGTAGTGAGAGCACAGCCAGTGCGAATCCTCACGTGACCAGAGTTAAACCAGTGGTTAAGTGTTTGCAGATTATAACCTAAGATTAAACTAATTTCTGCTTTCAGTCCTCACACACGTGTCTTTTTCTGCTTCATGAAAAAATATTTCAGAAACTGTATTGCCTATGTTACCCTTGTGTAATCAAAATCATCCAGTCAATTATATAATTTAAATGCATAAGAGTGCCAAGAATATCAAAGACTTCTGTTCCAAACTCTAAAAATATCATTCTGAGGCAGGGAGAGAGGAAAAATAACAGGAAAGATAGTAGTGAGAAAAATGTTAAAGATCCCTTTGACACATTCATTAAGATTAAAGGAGTTAAGAGTTAAATATACACTAATTTATTAGTAAAAACATATCATGAGCAGTGATACGTGTGCAACAGATTAAAGACCTGGCTTTCAAAAATGTGCACACACAATCACACATTAAAAATGTGTGCTTAATTTGCAGATGTAATTACTACCACCATGCATGCAAATCGACTAGTCGGGCAAAATTTTCAGAAGAGCCCAGGTCCCATTCATTTTTAATAGGACTTAGGGTACTAAGGGCTTGTCTACATTTGAAACTGTAACAGCTGTGCCACTGTACTACTTCATAATAGACACTACCTAAGCTGACAGAAGAACCCCTCCTGCCGGCATAGGTTATCTACCTCCCTGAGAGGCAGTAGCTAGGTTGATGAAAGAAGGTCTACACTTCCATTGACATAGCACTGTTTACACAGGGACTTAAGTTGACTTAACTACATGGCTCAGGAATATGGATTTTTCACACCCTTGAGTGATCTAGCTATGCTGACCTAAATTTCTAGTGTAGACCAAGCCTAAGTACCCACATCTCTTTTGGAAGTCAGATTTGGGCACTTTGGGGAATTTTACTAGCCACTGAGATCCAATTTGATATTGCAAGTGCAAAAACGTATGTGCAACTTACACATGCTTCCATATGCATTTTTTCATGTTCAATATACAAGTAATATGCTCATGTACTTTTCAAAATTAGACCCTTGATTTAATTTGTAATCTTTTAAGACTATAGCAGGGTTCTCAGGTGGGGTCAGTGAGAAGCGGACACATTCTTCTAGCCAAGGAATGCTGGTATGAGCTCAACTCATGCCTGTATGATCCAGAGGGGGAACACAAGACACTCTTTTATTCTCGTCCCGTCAAAGGAGTTTAAACTTTATGTAATTTTCCACAGTAAACAAAACATAGCCTAATAAATCCCACTCTTAAGATTACTGCTGGAGGAGAGGAGAGGCAGTTTTCTCTTTAAGACACAGGCCCAAGATCTAGTCACGATCCATCGAAGACTTCCTGTGTGACCCCAGGGAAATCTCTAAGCTCTAATTCTCAATTTTTAAAAATCTTGGTCTAAAAGTTAGGCTCCCAAATCAATATTTAGACACCTAAATAAGTGGCCTGATTTTCATAAGGGATAGGGACTGATCAACTCCCAATGATCTTTAGTGGATTTGTGGGTACTCAGTGCCTCTGGGGAAAAACAAATCAAGACCTTAAACCTCTCTCTGCCCCCAGCCATCCCTTCTTACCCCCCCCCCGCAAAAAAAGTATAAACTGGATATATTAATAACTAAGGCGAAGATTTTGTCATGGATATTTTTAATAAAAGTCATGGACAGGTCACGGGAAATAAAGAAAAATTCATGGAAGCCGTGACCCGTCCATGACTTTTACTAAAAATATCTGTGACAAAATGGGGATCTGCAGGTCCCCACGCCGCCTGCAACGGGGCAGCTTCACCATGGCTAGGAGCTCCGGGGGCCCCCACCGCGGGTTGGGTGTTGGAGTTGCAAGGTCCCGCAGCACCCATGGCTGGGAGCTGCAGGGGTTTGTGCGCTGCTGCAGGCCGAAGTCATGGAGGTTGCCAGAAGTCACAGATTCTGTGACTTTTGTAGAAAGAACAGGAGTACTTGTGGCACCTTAGAGACTAACAAATTTATTAGAGCATACGCTTTTGTGGGCTACAGCCCACTTCATCGGATGCATAGAATGGAACACATAGTAAGAAGATATTTATATATACATAGAGAGAAGGTGGAAGTTGCCATACAAACTGTAAGAGGCTAATTAATTAAGATGAGCTATTAGCAGCAGGAGAAAAAAACTTTTGTAGTGATAATCAAGATGGCCCATTTAGACAGTTGACAAGAAGGTGTGAGGATACTTAACATAGGGAAATAGATTCAATATGTGTAATGACCCAGCCACTCCCAGTCTCTCTTCAAACCCAAGTTAATGGTATCTAGTTTGCATATTAATTCAAGCTCAGCAGTTTCTTGTTGGAGTCTGTTTTTGAAGCTTTTCTGTTGCAAAATTGCCACCCTTAAATCTTTTACTGAGTGGCCAGAGAGGTTAAAGTGTTCTCCTACCGGTTTTCGAATGTTATGATTCCTGACATCAGATTTGTGTCCATTTATTTTTTTGCATAGAGACTGTCCGGTTTGGCCAATTTTGCAACAGAAAAGCTTCAAAAACCAGACTCCAATGAGAAACTGCTGAGCTTGAATTAATATGCAAACTAGATACCATTAACTTGGGTTTGAATAGAGACTGGGAGTGGCTGGGTCATTACACATAGTGAATCTATTTCCCTATGTTAAGTATCCTCACACCTTCTTGTCAACTGTCTAAATGGGCCATCTTGATTATCACTACAAAAGTTTTTTTCTCCTGCTGATAATAGCTCATCTTAACTAATTAGCCTCTCACAGTTTGTATGGCAACTTCCACCTTCTTTGTATGAATATATATATCTTCTCACTATATGTTCCTTTCTATGCATCCGATGAAGTGGGCTGCAGCCCACGAAAGCTTATGCTCTAATAAATTTGTTAGTCTCTAAGGTGCCATAAGTCCTCCTGTTCTTTTTGCGGATACAGACTAACACGGCTGCTACTCTGAAACCTGTGACTTTTGTGACCTCTGTGACTAAATCGTAGCCTTATTAATAACTACCTCACAGGTGTGTTGTAAGGCTAAGTTCATTAAAGTTGTAAAGCTGTTTGAGATCACTGACAGAAAGGCAACATAGACGTGCTAGACTACTCAATTAACAGGGCTCATTTACGGTTTGGTAGCTCTCTGCACTGCCAATGAGCAAGCCATTAAGCTCAGCATGAAGGTAAGTCATCTGTCAATTAGCAGAGAGCTTGTTAGCTGATCAAAGCTAATGAATTGATGAGTTCTGAGGGGAATCTTGTTCAGTCTTCTTATGCAGAGTTTACGCCTGGTATACTGAGCTTAAAAAGAGGTAATAAGGAATCTTTAGGAACCCAACTGACTCAGGCTTATTTTATATAAATTACAGATAGATCCTTTCATCAAATATCTAGTCTCCTTCACAGCAAACAGAACCTGTAATCCTCTTGCCTTCATACTGTGATTATGGTTATTTAAGAAATCATACAGTTAAAAATGATAAACACTGATTAATGGGTCCCCCAGCCAGATTGGCAGAACTAATATTGGTTCAGATTAGCGGGTATCAGTAACCCTGATTTTAATGGCTTCTGAAAGACCCACTTTAGAAACACATATGACTTACTACCACATTAGTAGTAAAGAGCACTAACACGGCTGTTACTCTGAAACCATACATAAAATGACAATTCGTATTTTGAAACCCACCAGTAATTGATTTTTACATGGCTGAAGTTTTATAGCAGATGTAAATCAAATTTATTTTTGAGGATTATTTTTCCAGTATTGCTAAATATAAAGAGAAAAGATCCTTTCAGTTTTGGAGGCTTTGACATTTAAAATGTTCTTACCCTGGCATCAGTTCCCGAACCTCTCTTATCTCCAGTCTTCACAGTGACTTTGTATAGCACTTTTCTGTGCATTGCAGAACTGGATCTGATACCAGCATGCTCGTTCCTGTATTGGGGTGCACTTTGGTGATGTCTCTTCATGTGATCAGACTTAAGAAATTTAAAAACAGAGAAGAAAAATTATTGCTGAGAAACCTTATAGGTTTTTTAGTATAGAGGTTTGGTTTTTTTGTTTTTGGTTTTTTGTTGTTGTTGTTGTTGTTGTTGTTTTGTTTTGGTTGCAGGGGAGAGGGGAGTTTGTTTTGTGTATAGAAGTAAAGCAAGTGGGGTTTGCGCTGTTTTTTTAAACATTTGGAATCCTTGGCATAAATATAATTCCTACTCTCTCTCTCAATTGTCTAATAAATAATGTGATACACTACTTTGAAAGTACAAATTCTAATGTTAAATAGGATGACAAAGCCCTATTATCATTATTTTACAAAATCAGCTGACAGAGAATGGTACTGAAGTCCAAATGGGACGTATGACATACTGACTACTTGTGACTATTAAAGCTTTCACAGCACATTTTTGCAACAGCATGTTATTCTGTGTCTTGATCAAATTCCAGTTTGCTTAAAGTCCTCCTAAAGCTTGGACACTGCATTATTTTACTATGTATCTTCCAGAGTTGTGCAATGTTATTGCCTGCATTAAACATTTCACCCCAGAAGTGGCTGCATTTCAGCAACGCATGAAGTTAATGTTAAATTTGTATATATTATATACATGCATGGCTGTTAAGAGCTTTGGAATTCTTCAGGATGAAGGGTTAGATAAATACATAATATTATTCCTACTAATGTGGAATAGACAAATAAACTGAAATAAAACAGTACGTACAACTGGAAGACACCTGGTAGTCACTCGCAGTCCAAACTTCCTGGCATAGTAGTCAAACAAGTGGGGATCATTCATTGAACTATATTGTGGCAACACATCAGCACAACCATTTCTATACCTATGACCACTCAAGCCAGCACTTAAGGTTCGAGCTACAAAAACAGAATAAATAAAGGCATTTATAGCAAGTATATAAGACCATGTCTTCATGTTATTATATAGGTTACAAGTTTAGGATAATATAGCAGCATCTTTACATTTGATGACATTTTTGTATCTGGATTACATAAAGATAGTAAAAGGGATTTTTGTAAAGGATTACAGAGAACAAATCCCACACAGTTTACTGAATCTCTCTTCTGCTATTTTTTTCATCTGTTGGTATTATTAATGCATCTAGAAAATGGCTAGGTAATGGAAATTAACAAATATTGAAGAGTAATTGCAGTGATAAGGAATTCACACACCCTGTCATAAATATAAAGGGAAGGGTAAACCCCTTTGAAATCCCTCCTGGCCAGGGGAAAGCTCCTCTCACCTGTAAAGGGTTAAGAAGCTAAAGGTAACCTCGCTGGCACCTGACCAAAATGACCAATGAGGAGACAAGATACTTTCAAAAGCTGAGAGGAGGGAGAGAAACAAAGGGTCTGTGTCTGTCTGTATGCTGCTTCTTGCCAGGGACAGAACAGGAATGGAGTCTTAGAACTTTTAGTAAGTAATCTAGCTAGGTATGTGTTAGATTATGATTTCTTTAAATGGCTGAGAAAAGCATTGTGCTGAATAGAATAACTATTTCTGTTTGTGTATCTTTTTTGTAACTTAAGGTTTTGCCTAGAGGGGTTCTCTATGTTTTTGAATCTAATTACCCTGTAAGATATCTACCATCCTGATTTTACAGGGGGGATTTCTTTATTTCTATTTACTTCTATTTTTTATTAAAAGTCTTCTTGTAAAAACCTGAATGCTTTTTCATTGTTCTCAGATCCAAGGGTTTGGGTCTGTGGTCACCTATGCAAATTGGTGAGGCTTTTTATCCAACATTTCCCAGGAAAGGGGGGGGTGCAAGTGTTGGGAGGATTGTTCATTGTTCTTAAGATCCAAGGGTCTGGGTCTGTAGTCACCTAGGCAAACTGGTGAGGCTTTTTACCAAACCTTGTCCAGGAAGTGGGGTGCAAGGTTTTGGGAAGTATTTTGGGGGGGAAAGACGCGTCCAAACAGCTCTTCCCCAGTAACCAGTATTAGTTTGGTGGTGGTAGCGGCCATTCCAAGGATAACGGGTGTAATATTTTGTACCTTGGGAAGTTTTGACCTAAGCTGGTAAAGATAAGCTTAGGAGGTTTTTCATGCAGGTCCCCACATCTGTACCCTAGAGTTCAGAGTGGGGGAGGAACCTTGACACACCCTATTTTGTCTTTCTAGCGATAATATCCTCTTTCTTGTAGAAGAAATTGGATTCTGTAGGCACAGCATTTGATGACAACAGAAACAAGTTAAACAGGTCTAAAAAGGTAAAAAAAAAGTCTTCCAGAGACAATGTGAGTGAAGTAATATCTTTTACTAGACCAACTTCTGTTGGTGAGACAAGCTTTCCAGCCACACACAGCTCTTCCTCAGCTGAAGAAGAACTCCATGTGGCTTGAAAGCTTGTCTCTCTTACCAACAGAAGTTTGTTTAGTGAAAGATATTACCTCACCCACCGTGTCTCTCCAATATCTTGGGACTGACATGGCTACAACAACACTACATACAAAAATTCTTCCAGACATTTAAAGTGAGAATGAGTATGTTCACTTTTCCTCAGAAATTAATTCTTCTTCTCATGATAAAAATTAAGCTTCTTATTCACAGAACTAATTAATTTTGGAAGCCAAAGCTCAATAGCAATCTCAATGAAAATTTGCACTACCCATGATCAAAATAGCATATAATTGCACATGATGAAATATATACGAGCTGCAAAGGAGCTGGTTCCCCAGTGGAAACTGAGTGTATTTAGCACTTCTCAGGACTGAGCCCTAACCATATAAATAATAAAGATTTTAAAGATGTTTGATAAATATTTAAAAAAACAAAAAGCAAAAATCATAGAAATCAAAAGTAATAGCAAAGTCAGTGGAGTATATATGTACATGTATATGTACACTTCAAGAAGGATGTGGATAAATTGGAGAGAGTCCAGCGAAGGGCAACAAAAATGATTAGGGGTCTGGAACACATGAGTTATGAGGAGAGGCTGAGGGAGCTGGGATTGTTTAGCCTGCAGAAGAGAAGAATGAGGGGGGATTTGATAGCTGCTTTCAACTACCTGAAAGGGGGTTCCAAAGAGGATGGCTCTAGACTGTTCTCAATGGTATCAGATGACAGAACGAGGAGTAATGGTCTCAAGCTGCAGTGGGGGAGGTTTAGATTGGATATTAGGAAAAACTTTTTCACTAAGAGGGTGGTGAAACACTGGAATGCGTTACCTAGGGAGGTGGTAGAATCTCCTTCCTTAGAGGTTTTTAAGGTCAGGCTTGACAAAGCCCTGGCTGGGATGATTTAACTGGGAATTGGTCCTGCTTCGAGCAGGGGGTTGGACTAGATGACCTTCTGGGGTCCCTTCCAACCCTTATATTCTATGATTCTATGTCTAAGTCAGCCTGCTTTTTGCAACAACAGCTCAGAACTAGCTAACAACATGTTTGAGAATCCATTGCTAAAGGAATTTCTAAATAATGCAAAAGGATTAACCAGTAAACTGGCTTTACAGTCAGAGGTGAATAGTAGTTTTAGATCTACTTCAGAAGTTCTCAGCTTCTAGGCAGGGATCCACCTTCCTACCGCTACTCACAGTGGGCCACAAGCATTTGCATAAGGCTTCTATGGTATTAAAGTGATAGGCACAGTACAAAAACCTGGGTAGAATAAAATAAGTGTAGCTCATGAACCACCTCCTGTTGCAAGTCTCCAGTCTTCTAAGGAATTACTCCATCATCATGGCACCATTTTCCATAGCAACTCCACTAAAATGCCATGAAAAATGACACACAGGATTCTGGGGCACGGAGTGAAGCAATTGCAACTGACTGGAAGTGTGCATAGTACTAAAATGTCTGAGAACCCATGACCTACTGTACTGCTTCAAAATATGGCCATTTGGTACAAAGTCTTCTGAAATCCTTCTGTACACATTTCTCTGAGTCAGGTACATGTCACAGACAGTGATGTCAGCAGGACTTATTATATTTAATAACAGGCACATTCAAACCCACAGTCAAAATCTGCTCCTCTTACAAAGATTTTCAGTAGATTTAATTCTTAACACCTCATTCAAACTATCCCAGCCAGGGAATCACCAGATCATTACTTGTTCTTACTGTGTCAACTGACAAAGAAATATTTACTTACCTGCAAAAGGTGCTTTTCTGCTCAGCACAGATTCAACAGGCCTGTGATTCAAGGTTACTCTATATTTCCGGAGGGACTTAGTCCAAGGTTCTGATTTGTTGCGTGGGTCATTCCAAATAGGTTTGTCCCGCAGAGGTGAAACATCTCGGAACTGGAATCCTAATCAGAATCAAATAGTCACCAGTAATGTTGTGTCACAACTTCTAAAAGTGACAGATGACATTCCCCACCTCAAAAACAACGAGGAACCTTAAAACAGATTTATTTGGGTATAAGCTTTCATGGGTAAAACCCCCCATTTCTTCAGATGCATCTGATGCATGCATCAGACGTTGGGGGGGTGTGGGGGATTTACACATGAAAGCTTATGCCCAAATAAATCTGTTAGCCTTTAAGGTGCCACCGGACTCCTCATTGTTTTTGTGGATACAAACTAACACAGCTACCCCTCTGATACTTATTCCCCACCTCAGAGAGTTTATAATCTAAAAAACATTGTGGGCTTTGTGAAAGAGGTGAGTCCTTCAGAGAGACGTGTATGCAGAGAGGGTATGCCTTGGTGAGCTAGGACTGGAGGGTATCGTGTGTGTATAATGCACACGTCAGTGTCGGTTACATGTCCCCTTCTGTGCCCAATCCACATAAGAAGGGAGTCTGATAGAGACCCTAGCTACAGAGCCCAGCTCTTCAGCAAAAGCTGTCAAGACTCACAAGTTAAGCTCTGAGAGTTCCCCAGTTCAGTCCCTGATATACTGGCTGCAATCTTGGCCAACGCAAATTGGGCCGTGTGTAACCCAGCCTTACGCAGCGTGGCTCTCTCTTCCCCTATAGTGACTGGTGCATAAGAACGGCCATACTGGGTCAGACCAAAGGTCCATCCAGCTCAGTATCCTGTCTACCGACAGTGGCCAATGCCAGGTGCCCCAGAAGGAGTGAACCTAACAGGTAATGATCTAGTGATCTCTCTCCTGCCATCCATCTCCACCCTCTGACAAACAGAGGCTAGGGACACCATTCCTTACTTATCCTGGCTAATAGCCATTAATGGACTTAACCTCCATGAATTTATCCAGTTCTCTTTTAAACCCTGTTATAGTCCTAGCCTTCACAACCTCCTCAGGCAAGGAGTTCCACAGGTTGACTGTGCACTGAATGAAGAAGAACTTCCTTTTATTTGTTTTAAACCTGCTACCCATTAATTTCATTTGGTGGCCCCTAGTTCTTAAATTATGGGAACAAGTAATTAATTTTTCCTTATTCACCTTCTCCACACCACTCATGATTTTATATCCCTCTATCATATCCCCCCTTAATCTCCTCTTTTCCAAGCTGAAAAGTCCTAGCCTAGCATGTCAGCTTTTATGCTAACAGACCTAGGCCTTTTAGAGCAGGCAGTAGAAGCTCAGGTTTTTAGATTCAGAGGTCCCAGGTGTTGTTAAATGTTGAAGGTTGGAAAGTCATTGCCTTGGTAATACTGTTCAGGCTGCTCCGTGCTTCTGTCATTGGACAAGCAGATAATGCGAATTCAGCAGACCTCAATGTTACTCCTAAAGAACGATCACAGTCGCAGTTCAGTGACAAAGGCACTCGGCCCAGTTTACTGCCCTCAAGGCACAGTCCTAGCATCCTGGCTCCGTGGTTACAGGTACAACTAACACATGAGTGCCCAGTGGCAAGGAGTATCTCAGTCAGCAACAGGAGTCTCTGCTAGGCTACACAAAGGATTGAGGCAAGGTACCCTGACATTTGTAGTCTGAGACAAACGGGGATACACAACTTATATACCGCCTTACGTGTTTCAAGATCTCTGTTTGCTACCTCCCTTGTTCCTGATATCTTGGACAAAACATCCCTATTCGTTGTTCTGTCAAACCACCTTATCTTGTACTAGATTGGGGTGTACCTGTACTAGCCTTCTGAAATATACTTAACTACCCTTATAGTTATGTAAGCACAGTCTGAATGAGCTCTCCCCCGACATCTAGTGGTGAGCTGTGGAAAAGGACTTCAGGAGCAGATCTCGTTTGCATAGGCACACCCACCCTGCCTAGCTGCTCAGCATGATGGGATTGCTTGCCCAAATTATCACTTGTGGCTGGTATGGGATCCCCAGTCTCCTTGTTATTGGTGCAAGAGTAATAAAGGGCTGTTATCCTTGTTGTGTGAATCAAGGGCAGCAGAACTGTACTTGGCATTTCCCGATTGAGGGAATCGCACTCAACTGAATGGCACCCGCTAGACAGGGGATATGGGTTCCAAAGCCCAGTGAGTTGAGAGAGGGCTGTGACAAGTACTTGTATCTGGTGTGGTGGGCTTTGCCTAAGGTCACAGACACCATTTGACCCTTCCACTCTCCACTGTGTAATAACAGAGCTAATTTACATTCAATTGAGAGTCTTGTTACATGCTGCAGAGCTGAAATTACTTATACCTAGGTCTAAGTATTAGACCTGCTTTGGGACAGTGTGTCTGATGCAAGAAACTACCCAGTGTGCACCAGAACTGAGGCTCCCCCACTAACAGCTGAAATCACTCAGAACTGAAATTACTGAGAGCTGGTAAGGGGGGGTCCTGAAGACATCTTGGCACAGCCAGCAGGGTGGCGGGCAGAGATTGCCAGAGCAGAGCCCCGCAGAGAGGGGCAGTGAGTGAGTGCCCAAGCAGCAGAGGGAGTAAGGGGCCTCTTTACCTGCCCCCATCCACCTAGGGTAGGAGGTGAACTCTGCAGATGCACCTCCGAACTCTGGATCTGCACTGTCCAAGGACAGCAACAGTGAGTGGGGTGCAGAGAAGGGTCGGGCACATACAAGGGGAATTTTGCATTGCTGGACTTGAGACCCTGAGGGGAAAAGGCTGGACTTAAGACCCTGAAGGGAAAAGGACACTTCCCAACTTACTTGACAGTGGGTCTTTTGCTCATGGTTTATGTTTATAAACCCTGTTTGCGGTGTTTCCCCAAATTAATACCACATTATTTCCCTCTTTTAATTAAAGTTTTTTCTACACTCAGACTCTGTGCTTGCAAGAGAGGAAGTATCACCTCTTAGAGGTGCCCAGGGGGTGGGGTTTAATTGTCCCAGGTCACTGGGTGGGAGCTCAAGTGTTGTATTGTTGAAAAGGAACCTCTAGATACTGAACCCGGCCCTTGTTGCAGCCATCTCTGACAGGCAGAAGGGTTACAGTTAGAAAATGTTTCCTAATATCTAACAGAAATCTCTCTTGCTGCCAATTAAACTGGTTACTTCTTCTCCTACCTTCCGTGAAGAACAACTGATGATGGTCCTGTTTATAATAGCCCTTAACATATTTGAAGACTGTTATCAGGTCCCCCCTCAGTCTTCTTTTCTTAAGACTAAACATGCCCAGTTTTTTTAACCTTTCCTCATAGGTCTGGTTTCCTAAACCTTTTGCCACTCCTCATGAATAAGCACAATCACCCTTCCTCCACACGATGCCAGCAAGACAGACCTCCCAGTATCACTGCAGCACCTAGCCATGCTCACCACCAATTACTTCCTTGTGATACATTTCAACTTTAAAAACCTAGTAAACTTAATTATATTTTGGGTTTGACCCTACCCTTGGCGATGCAGGCAAGTATAAGTGCCTACTTAGTTCAAACTGCTGATTTTTTACTGTTAAATAGGCTTATAATTTTCATCCTTGACTACTTTAGGAAAAAGGTTTGAGCATCAAGGAAGGGGAAGGGGAGTCAGGACTCCTGGGCAACATTCCCTCTGAGTTTTCTTTGTAGTGAGAGGGCTACAAACTCCAATGGGCAATACATTTTTGTCCTCAGGCAAGCTTACAGGTTTGTTTTTTAAAGACTTCTTACACTGAGCTAACTCGCCACTGTGGTGCTACAACTATGTATGTGCACTGAGAAGGAAAGTATTTTTACGACAGCACACTAAAACTAAAGATGACCAAACTAAAATGAAATTTGTAATTTATCATCTTTCAGTTTAAAGGTCCCCTTGTTCTTGTATTATTGACAAGGATAAATCATAGAATATCAGGGTTGGAAGGGACCTCAGGAGGTCATCTAGTAATAGGAGCACCTTCTATGTGGAAGTATACTCTTCATTATTTTGCATACCACTATTATGTCTCCCCTGACGCATCTCCTCTCTCATCTAAACAGACCCAATCTTTTCATGTCTCCTCATACAAAAGTCTCTCCACTCTTCCAGATATTTTCCATCACCTATTTCTAAACTACTACTTCAGTTATAACTTTTTTGAGACAAAAAAAACAAAACAAAACGAGGAGGCCTTGTGGCACCTTGGAGACTAACAAATGTATTTGGGCGTAAGCTTTTGTGGGCTAGAACCCACTTCATCAGATTTATGAAGTAAAAGATACAGGAGCAGGTATAAATACATGAAAGGATGTGTTTTGATTTACCAAGTGTTAGGTCAGTCTAACGAGATAAATCAATTAACAGCAGGATACCAAGGGAGGAGAAATAACTTTTGAAGTGGTAAGAGAGTGGCCCATTACAGACAGTTGACAATAAGGTGTGAGTAACTGTAGGGAGAAATTAGCATTGGGGAAATTAAGTTTAGGTTTTGTAATGACCCAATCACTTCCAGTCTTTATTCAGGCCTAATCTGATGGTATCTAGTTTGCAAGTTAATTCCAGTTCTGCAGCTTCATGTTGGAGTCTGTTTTTGAAGGTTTTTTGTTGAAGTATTTCCACTTTGAGGTCTGTTATTGAGTGACCAGAGAGACTGAAGTGTTCTCCTACTGGTTTTTGAATGTTATGATTCCTGATGTCATATTTGTGTCCATTTATTCTTTTGCGTAGAGACTGTTCGGTTTTGCCAATGTACATGGCAGAGGGGCATTGCTGGTATATGACGGCATATATCACATTGGTAGATGTGCAATGAGCCCCGGATGATGTGGCTGATGTGGTTAGGTCCTATGATGGTGTCCCTTGAATAGATATGAGGACAGAGTTGGCAACAGGCTTTGTTGCAGGGTTTGGTCCCTGGATTGGTGTTTTTATTGTGTGGTGTGTAGTTGCTGGTGAGTATTTGCTTCAGGTTGGGGGGGCTGTCTATAAGCGAGGACTGGTCTGTCTCCCAAGGTCTGTGAAAGTGAGGGGTCGCCCTTCAGGATAGGTTATAGATCTTTGATGATGCACTGGAGAGGTTTTAGTTGGGGGCTGTAGGTGACGGCTAGTGGCGTTCTGTTACTTTCTTTGTTGGGCCTGTCTTGTAGTAGGTGACTTCTCGGTACCCTTCTGGCTCTTTCAATCTGTTTCTTCACTTCACCAGGTGGTACTGCAGTGTTAAGGACACTTGATAGAGATTCTGTACGTGTTTGTCTCTGTCTGAGGGATTGGAGGAAATGCAATTGTATCTTAGAGCTTGGCTGTAGACAATGGATCGTGTGATGTGGTCTGGATGAAAGCTGGAAGCATGTAGGTAAGTATAGCGGTCAGTAGGTTTCTGGTATAGGGTGGTGTTTATGTGACCATCACTTATTAGCACTGTAGTGTCTAGGAAGTGGACCAGGCTGAGGTTGATGGTAGAGTGGAAATCATTGAAATCTTGGTGGAATTCCTCAAGGGCCTCCTTTCCATGGGTCCAGATGATGAAGATGTCATCAATGTAGCGCAAGTAGAGTAAGGACATAAGGGGACGAGAGCTGAGGAAGCGTTGTTCTACGTTAGCCATAAAAATGTTGGCATATTGAGGGGCCATGCTGGTACCCATAGCAGTCCCACTGACTTGAAGGTATAAATTATTCCCAAATCTGAAATAGTTGTGGGTGAGGACAAAGTCACAAAGTTCTGCCACCAGGTTTGCCGTGACATTATCGGGGATACTGTTCCTGACGGCTTGTAGTCCATCTTTGTGCGGAACGTTGGTGTAGAGGGCTTCTACATCCATAGTGGCCAGGATGATGTTTTCTGGAAGATCATCAAAGGAGTATAGTTTCCTCAGGAAGTCAGTGGTGTCTCGAAGATAGCTGGGAGTGCTGGTAGCATAGGGCCTGAGGAGAGAGTCTACATAGCCAGATAATCCTGCTGTCAGGGTGCCAATGCCTGAGATGATGGGGTGTCCATGATTCCCCTGTTTATGGATTTTGGGTAGCAGGTCGAATACCCCTGGTCAGGGCTCTAGGGGTGTGTCAATGTAGATTTGTTCCTGTTCTTCTTGAGGGAGTTTCTTGAGCAGATGGTGTAGTTTATTTTGGTAATCCGCAGTGGGGTCAGAGAGTAATGGCATGTAGAATGTGGTGTCAGACAGGGTGCCAGAACTGAACACAGTATTCCAAGCAAGGGCACTGATTTATATGACAGCATTATAGATACAGTAAGATTAAGGCAAAATAAAATAACCATTCATCTCAACAGAAACTTGCAAGTGGCCGAGAAACAGATCTCGTGATGAGAGTTTAGCAGAAACACTGGCTTATATATTTGCAAGTTTCCCAAAAGAATTAAAGCATAATCTCATAATAAGGAAACAACAAGACAAAAGAGAGAACTGCTAGGACTAGTGATGATCAGACTCAGACCTCCCTGTATTATTTATTAATTGTCTCTCTCCAGACTGGGTGTGGGAGATTCACAGGGGTTCACAGACCATATGCTGGTCCTACAATGCAGTTGTGGGAGTGCACAACTCCTTAAGCAGCAACAAGGGTGAGCCAGGTAGCGAAGGCTGTGTGCCTGCTATAGCTACCCTACAGACCAAGGCCTGTTTCCCCACAGCTGGGGCCACATTGCCAGGTCACTAAATGCACAGGAGCACCTCCCTTTCCCCCTGTGATCTCCTATACCCACCCCTACCAGGAATCCCTGCCTTCCCCACCCTGCTCCTTACTCAGGTCTGCCCTGCTTCCCAGTCCCCCGTACCAAGATGAACCATAAGTTCTGGCAGGCTGAGGGCCCAGAACACAGACTGGGACCTGGGTGCCAGCCACACTCCCTGCCACGTGACATGTGCGGTAGACACAAGATTGCTACATGGCCACACATGCACACAGTTTACAGGGAACATTGCTCCTGAGTACCGTTTCCAGCTCTGCCACTAATATATTGTGTGCCTTTGGGAAAGTCACATAAGGCCTGATTTTCAAAACGTGCACACAGGGGTGTGCAATTGTCCACAAACATCATGACTACATACACAGATCAAGTATTTTTACATCCTTAAATGGCCACGTATGCATCTAACTGGTCATCTGCACCTGCACAATCACAATTTGAGCATGCATTCGTGGTAAATGAATGCACTACTCAGCGTCCATTATAAAGAGTTAGCGGTAGTTCTACTTTATTTTTAACCTCCATATTATGATGTTTCGATTATAGAAGGATGTTTACAATATAAGGGATCTGCTTTTCTTTTTGTTGTATGTGTACACTTCAGAAGTTTCAAATGCGCACTGATGGAAGAACACAACTTTAAGGCTTTACCAGCTGCAAATTGTGTTTCCCCAGCCACAGAATAAACCAAAGAGATGCAATGAGAGCATGTAGCCATTACCAGATAGATTCCTTCACACACCCTTACCTGTGGAGGGTTGTATCCGTGGTGCAGTATGACTGGGATAGGGGTCTCTGGGCCTCATGTTCTCAAAGGCACACTGTGCAGTTTGTGGATGCAGAATCCCTGTCACTGAAGGAGAGGAGTTATAATACTGCATTTGGGTTGGCATTTTCAGTCAGTGCCCAGTTGATCACAGGTGACAGGGCCAGCAAATCTTGACCAGGGCTAGGTCTTATTAAAGTCCTGAAGGTTCAGTATCTCTCCTGCATTAGTGAAAGGGCAAAAACAACATTCAGACCAAGTACTCACAAAGATATTACCAGCATACACAATGGAAGGTATCTGTAAAAGAAAAACAATATACAGTCACGAAGGTGAGGGGTGTTGTGTGTGTTGCAGACACATCTAGCACCACATTTTGGGCAGATAGGGTCTAGACACACCTAGCACCATGATGGCAGAAGGGAGCGTTATTTGGAGGCAGGGAGCTGCAAAAGTACACATTGCACCGTGTGGGGTGTTACAGACACAGTTACAGATACAAATGGCACCACTACTGGGTGGAGGTGATGCAACCTGGCACCATTACTGGGGTGGGGAAAGGGGTGCAGACACACTTGGCTCCTTGAGGGGGGGTAAATACACACCTGTCTTGGAAGGGGAGTGGTGGGGGAAGCGGTGCAGACACACCTGGTGTGGAGGAGGAAGGAGGAGTGCAGATACACCTGTCTGGTGGGGGGGGAACCTACCTGTGTTGGGGGGTGGGGGTGGTGATGGGGTGCAGACAGAACCTGTCTTAGGCAGGGAAGGGGAGAATTGGGGGTACAGACACACCTGTCTTGGGAAGGAAGGGAGGAGGTGGGGGTACAGAAACAGTTGTCGGGGTGTGGACACATCTGTCTCTGGGTGGGAGAGGAAGAGGAGGATGGGGTACAGAAACACTTGTCAGGGGGAGGGGTGCAGACAAACCTGTGGGGGGAGGGGTGCAGACACACCCATCTCTGGGGGGGAAGGGGAGGAGGAGAAGGGGGTGCAGAAACACTTGTCTGGGGGAGGGGAGAGGACGGGAGGGGAGGAGTGCTAACACACCTGCTGAAGGGAAGGGGGTGCAGACACACCTGTGAAGGTGGGGGGAGAGGGTGCAGACACACCTGTCTTGGGGAGGGAAGAGAGGGAGCAAACACACCTGTTAAAGGGAAGGGGGGGTTACACAGCTGTCTCAGGGAAAAGGGGAAGGGAAGGGAGGGGGTGCGCACACACACCTGTCAGGGGGGTAGGGGTGTAGACACACTTGTTGGGGGGGGGAGAAGAGGGGTACAGACACACCTGGCTCGGGAGGGGGGTCACACACCTGTCCCGGGGAGGAGGGGGGTACAGACACACCTGACCGGGGGGATGGGGGGAGTACAGACACACCTGTCCCGGAAGGGGGTCACACACCTGACCGGGGGGGAGGGGAGTACAGACACACCTGTCTGGGGGGGGTCACACACCTGTCGGGGGGGAGGAGAGGGGTACAGACACACCTGGCTCGGGAGGGGGGTCACACACCTGTCCCGGGGAGGGGGGGGGTACAGACACACCTGTCTGGGGGGGGTCACACACCTGTCGGGGGGGAGGAGGAGGGGTACAGACACACCTGTCTGGGGGGGGTCACACACCTGTCGGGGGGGAGGAGGAGGGGTACAGACACACCTGTCTGGGGGGGGGTCACACACCTGTCGGGGGGAGGAGGAGGGGTACAGACACACCTGTCTGGGGGGGTCACACACCTGTCGGGGGGGAGGAGGAGGGGTACAGACACACCTGTCTGGGGGGGTCACACACCTGTCGGGGGGGAGGAGGAGGGGTACAGACACACCTGTCTGGGGGGGTCACACACCTGTCGGCGGGGGGAGGAGGCTGCCCCAGCCCGGGCTCGCTGGGCGGCGGCGGCGGCGGCGGTTGGAGCAGTTGCTAAGGACGCGGCGGGGGCGGGGCCGGGGGGCTTCCCCGGCCCGGCCCCGTCGCCCCAGAGCGCCGCCCGGGAGGGGCCGGCTCCCCTCCCTCCCGCATCCAGCGGAGCCCGGCCCGCGCCCTGCCCCGGCCTAGCCTGGCATCCTGCTTAACCCCCAGTTTGGTCCCATCTTCACCGCAAGAATAAACCACGTTCCAGCCACCCCAGGAGCCTGCTGGAGTGAGCCCGGAGCCACAGCTCCCTAGTGTCCCCGGTGCGGGGATCTAGTCCAGGGGGCTGACCACGGTGTCCGGTCACCCAGCCTGGGCCGGCTCTGGGTTTTTTGCCGCCCCCAAGCAAAAAATTTGCTGCCCCGAGCTCCGAGAGCACAACTGCCCCAGCCAAAAAAAAAAAAAAAAAAAAGGGGGGTGTGTGTGGCCAGAACGCTGCCCCTGGAATTGTGCCCCCCAGCCCCCAAGCAGGCGCTTGCTTTGCTGGTGCCTAGAGCCAGTCCTTTACCCATGTACAAAAGTTGTGCCACGGCTGTGATACAATCTAGTATTTCTTGTATTTGCATTTCCGTAACACTTCACGCAGCCCCAGTTGTGAGTGTCCACCTTGTAGACAAGCCCTTATAGTTACACTGCGAACTCTGCAGGGCTGGGAACATCTTTTTGTTCTAGGTGTATACAGTGCCTAGCGCAAAAGGGCTCTACTCATTTAATGAGGCCTCTGTGCTCTACTGTAATACAAATACATAATAATTATGCCAATAATCCACATCCAAAATTTGCTGCTGAGCGAGACTTCATATTCTTGATATTGATAGCAAGAAAAAAAATAAACCCTTTCTGGCCTTGTTTATACCTCTCAAAAAAGCAAAACAATGTCCAAATCCCTTTTTTCCCCTTGGCGGATCACCTCTACATGTATTTTACGTAAGGAGAATATAAACTGGAAAGTGTATCTATCTTGTTTCCATTCCCTTTTTGTTGAAATGCAATAGCTTCTTGGAGAAAAAAAACACTTGCGGTTTCTGCATCCCCTGCTGGATTTGCAGTGAGATTCATGGAAGTATGGAAAAGTCCTGCCTTCTTTTCACAGAGCCTCTGACTGGGATAAGTGAGCCAGCTTCAAAGCATAAAAGCATCCACCTGCAGCTTCACATGAATGTTCATATTTCACTGTCTGCCCGCCTCCTTCCATTTCATGAAATTGTGAGCTAGAGTCAAGCTGCTCTAAATGCCTTGCCTTAGTACCATCCAGTGTCCTTCGGATTAGAGCATGTTGTTTCCTTTTAAGAAATGCCTCACGGTTTTATGAATTAGTTATCAGCTCTGAGGCCCAGTACAAATCTTTGTCCAGTTGTTGGACACTTCAGTGAACCGCATATGGTTTGTAATGCAAGTTAACAGCAAGAGCAGGGTTATCATCAATACTTTCCATCACTGGCTATTCTAAAAAAAGCAAAGTTATTTCTTACTGGAATCAGGTGTAGTAGAAACAGGGAAAATTCTTGTCTTACCTGTGGATTTTCATTCTAGGCGCTTCCCATGGCAGACAGTCTTCAAGGTGTCGCATTCCCTGCACCCATTGCAACTGGGGGCAGACCAGACCTTTGAGTGTGGGTTTAGAACAGCTTCCAAAGTGAAAAAATACTAACTATATAGAAGTTTAAACATCAAACCATTTGCAGCAGACCCTTGACATTGAATTTAGGGATTTCCTGGAGGAAGACCTGCTTCCCTTTTAAACTACTTAACAAGCATGCAATAGCTAATCCTGGTCCTAATGCAGTCCATTGAGAAAGGATCAGACTGACTGATATGGAAAGTCCTAGAGGGAAAATTCACAGGTAAACACTAATTGATCCATATAGATCTTGTTGGTGCATATAAAAGTTACATCATGCTCTTTAACATAGTCCCATTTCAAAGAGTATTATATTCAAGTGCACTAGGGAACTTTTAGGGTGCACCAGCAAGGTCTACATGGACCAATTAGTGCCCAACACATTAGTGCACTTTAAAAGTCACAATCCCATATGCGCTGTGTAGACAAGGCCTAAATCAAGCTAAACTGAATTAATTCTGACTAACAGGCTCTACAAGGGGTTTTAGTGCAGTTTAAGTGATCCACTTTAAATTCCCACCTTTAGTTAATTTGGATTAACTTTTCTGAGTGTCCCCATGTAGAGAAGCCCTAAAACAGACAACAAACAACTGAGGAAGCACAAGGTAGGAGTGAAACACTTATGATTAACGTAATAAGCAGCAGTCAAAGCTGCTTATTATTACACTGGTCATAAATCATAATGCTTACTAGCCTCATGCAGCTGTTGTGAGACTGCATCCATTAATGTTGGTCAAGACCTTTGACATTCTATGTCCCATTCATAATTTTGTCTACTTCTATTTTAGAAGGGCAGGCGCTTTTTAAAGTGGTGGTGAGGAAACAAGTGACCAGGGAAAAGAAAATGACTGACGGAGAAAATACATTGGACACTTCCATCATGTGGAAATAAGTTGCAAACAACCATCCAGCTGGTAGCAGGCACAAGGGTGCATAAGAGTTACAGGGATCACCTTGGTCTGGTATCTACATACTAGTTTGTTAAAGAATGTCAGGTCAGGTCTCTAATGAAAGCCTGTGTCGCATCAGTCCTCATAATCATTGAGATGTGTCCACAGAAAATACGTAGATCCTGTATACTGAAAAGTATGTTCTCAAGGGCTGTGAGCTAAGGCAGGTCACTAAAAGGTGATCCACATACTCTTGTCAGTTGCCAGTAGACTTGGGCTCATAAAAGAAGGGTCTCTCAGCCATCTAGGTTGAAAATGCTGTGAGAAGGACCTTATTTGACAAGAGGCCATTGTGTTAGCCAAGTTTAGGCTTTGTAATGAGTGTTATGATTTTATCTGGTTTCAGAGTAGCAGCCGTGTTAGTCTGTATTCGCAAAAAGAAAAGGAGTACTTGTGGCACCTTAGAGACTAACCAATTTGTTAGTCTCTAAGGTGCCACAAGTATTCCTTTTCTTTTTATGATTTTATCTGTAACCCTTTGTTTCCATTATTGATGTTTTTTATCGTACGAATCTCTATTTTTTATTAAATAAACTTATACGTCCTTTCTCTATAAACATATCT